CTCTTCCTGGACAGGCTGGCTCTGGTATCCAAAGAGGTCTCTTCTCCATTTCATGCAGATCAGGGTGTCCAGGGCACCTTCGTGTGGTCAAGCTGGGTTCCCCCGTGCCTGCTGGTGGGCTAACCCGGGGGAGCTCTGTATTTGGGTAGGAACCCTCACTATTGGGCTAAACTTATCTTAGGTGTGCAGTAACTGTCTCCTTTGTGGGCTAATCTTGGATTTGCTACTCATTAAGCCAATTAATTGGGCTAACATCAACAATGAGGGTTTCATAAGAAAGAGGACTCAAGATCGCTGCCCCTCAAATACCACTTTCCAAGCCACTTTCCCCTCCCTGCCTCCCTCTTTCTTAACTAGATGGATAAACATGCACACGTCGTGCTACATCAACAGGCTTAGCAGGGGTGGACCAGCAGCGAGCTCTTCCCCCTTTACATCCCCCTCTCATTTTTTTTTTTTTCCCGGTACGCGGGCCTTTCACTGTTGTGGCCTCTCCCGTTGCGGAGCACAGACTCTGGATGCGCAGGCTCAGCGGCCATGGCTCACGGGCCCAGCCGCTCCGCGGCACGTGGGATCTTCCCGGACCGGGACACGAACCCGTGTCCCCTGAATCGGCAGGTGGACTCTCAACCACTGCGCCACCAGGGAAGCCCCTCCCCCTCTCATTTGTGATGGTGCTGGGGGCCCAGGCAGAAGCGGGGAGAAGCAGGGAGGGATCCAAGGGGCAAAGAAGCCACTTCTAAGGGACAGGAATCCTTGGGGGCAGCCACGGGCTCCTCAAAGTCTTGTTTCTCAGAAACAAATCAAAGCAACTGAGGCAAGTCTTCCAAAGGAGGGATGGGGACCAGAGGGAGGAGGTTCAGGGTCCCTTGGTCCCCAGGCCCCAGGCCCACCCTCTCCCTGTGTCTCTCTTCCAGGCTCTGGCAGGCAGCATGCTCTGCGGCTGGGCTGCCCCTCTGCTCCTGCTGATGTTCCAGGGGGGTAAGTAGTTGCCCCGTGGTATGCGGGTGGAGAGCAGCTGGGCTGGCCTTGTGGGCTCCAGGGCAGGGTAGAAGCCACAGGGTCAGAGTCTGTGGCATCTGTCCACTTGCGGCCGACACAAGTCCAGTAGCCATCTCTGCATTAGCCAGGGCCCATCCCACCAGAGAGCTCCACTGTCCAGAAGTGAGTCCCACATGGCCCAGCCCACTGTCCTGGTCTCCACGTCTCACTGGCCGGGGAAGTGGGGCGGGAGGATGAGGGACTTCATCCTTCTCTCTGCCTTGGCTGGCTCCCAATTCTCAGCGTGAGGAAGTCCTGCCTGTGATCTAACCACAGTTTCTCCTCATCTCCTAGGAGATGTTTCTCAACAATCACTGGATCCACTGCCAGCAGATATTCCCTGCAGGGGAGAGTGGCTGTGGAGACAAAAGTAGCCAAAGCCTTAGAAGGAAGCCCCGGAGGAGCAGAAGATGTTGCAGTCAGAGGGAGAGATGTTCGAGACCCGAGCAGGGAAAGGCCAGGTGTTAGACTTGGGGGCGCAGTCAGGGCTGAGAGATCCAGGAAGCCTTCCCGGAGGAGGTGGGACACAGCACACAGGCTCAAATGGGAGCTGGCCTGGGGGCAGGGGTGCCCTCAGCCTCCGCTGTGCTGACTCATAAGCATTTCACTCCGGTTTTTACCGAAAGACCCAAAGCCTCAAATAGCTCCATCAGGAAACAGATGTCAGGCTCCTTTATTTTCCCTTTCTGAGTGGTCAGAAACCTGTCCTAGCCTCTAAAGGGCCTTTGGGTCACCTGCTGCCTCTCCCCACCCCGTGAGCACAAATAACAAGCCCCTGCTGTGTCCCGGGGGCCGAGCATCCTCATTCCCTTCTGCCAACAGCCTGTGAGGCTCAGAGAGGGTGAGAAGCAGGTCCACGGCCACACAGCCGGGCAGTGGCAGAGCTGGGACGGGTTCCCAAATCTGCCTGATTCCCGTGGTCTTAACTGCTTTTATCGGGTGAGTGCTACATGCAGGCAGCCTGGACTGCACCGGCGTGATATCATCTAAATACCTCCCCACCCCGTCTGAGGGGCCAGTGTCTCCAGCTTACAAATAGCGACTCAGAGCACTCGTGAGTCACTGAGTCAAGTTTGCACTTTTCACGGCTCCCACTGCCTCCCACACGCTGTGATAGCCCTGGGCGGGTTGGGGGGTGGCCCGGGGGCTCTCTGCGCAGGGCTCAGGGTAGTGACCAGTGACAGGGTTTTTACTCCCTCTGGTCCCTGATGCCACCTCCACACTAGTTCAGGGACTACTGTCCCCTCTCCAATGTTTCATTACAAGTTTGGGACAAACCCTGTCCCTTGGTGGCCTTGAGTCTACCTAGGAAAGGCAGCTCCTCTCCAAGTTCTGGAGCACTGAAAGAGAACGACTAGGATATGGTGAACTCAGAGAGGACACAGCCACATGGGTTTTGGTCCTGCCAAAATCAGTCCTCTTTTCTCCACAAAGTATCTGAACGGGCTGCTCTGTGTCCACCGACAGGCCCTGTGCTCCTCCCCGAGGGAAACTTCCTCCTAGAACAGGATTCATTTCCACATCTCAGATCCCTTGGTAGTGGCTGTCTGGAGCCACTCAACTGTGTTGAGAAGGATTCTGAGGCCACACCCAAGGGAGTGAGTGCCATGATCAATTAGCGATGTCTGCCATGTGTGCGGATGTGAAGAACGAGCACAGACTAGATTTTGCCTTTCCTGGGTCTCCTGAGCCCAGACCAAGAGCGAGACAAGAGGTGTAGCCCAGTCTCAGAGCTTCAGTGTTGTCATTTGTTAAATGTGATGGGAGTAGACAGAAAGGATGTTTCCAGTGACAGTGTTCTTGACTGCAAATCCAGCTTCTGACCTAGATGGAGACCCAGGAGGAATGTACTGCTACCCCCTGGATCTTCATTAGTCAAGGAAAAATAGGAAAAAGCCACTAAGAATGAATCCATTTAAAAGGGGAACAAATTTCTGGTAAATAGCGGGGGGTGGAGGCAGGGGGAATAGCAGCGTTGGCACTTGATCTTACAAAACAAAACTAAACTAAAACTTATTAACTGGGTTTTGTCAAACATTTTTAGAACAAAGTAAAGCAATTAATGTTGGAGTTGGGAGAGTATTAAATCTTGCAATAAAATTGCCTGAGGGGGACCATACCTGTGTCACTTGGTTGGTGGTGGTGGTGATGGTTTGGGCAGTAGGATAATACAGACATCTTGGCAAAATATCCAAGGGCTTCTCAGTTTTCTGAAGGTTTCTTGCTCCCTCGAAGCACTGCCAGGTCACCGAGGTCCATGTCCTGTCTTGGACCAGCTGTGGGGAACAGAGGGAGCATGTGGTCTCTCACTGACCACACGAGTCCCTCTCGCGGGATGTGCAGATTCCCCCAGCAACCGGGGAGTTCAGGACACACCACCCTGAGAGGGAGGCCGGCCAGGAGGGATGCCGACTTGGTGTGTGGACACAGGGCTTGTGGAGAGGGCGCTGGGTGGGGACCCGCTTAGTTTATGATGTTTCTCGTTAGGAGAGTCTTGTCGCCATAGCCAACCTCGCAACTTTGGGGGCTCAAAAATAGAATTCTTAGGTGGCAAGGACCCCCTTGCTCCAGGCCTTTCTCTTAGTGGCCCTAGGGTCGTCATATTCATCCTGGCTCTGGGACCCCTGCTTCCCGTCATCCTCCAGCCCTCAAGGGGGTGAGGGGGTGATCAGCTCTGCTGACCCCGACCAGCCCCCACCCCAACCAAGGTCTCTGTCTCTCTTGACCCTCCAGCCTGCGGCTGCTCAGACCTCGTCTGCTACACTGATTACATCCAGACGGTCACCTGCATCCTGAAGACATGGGCCCCGCACCCTGACACGCTCACCCTCACCTGGTACGTGGCCAGACCTCGCCAGCCTCGGGGATGCGATTCAGGGTAGCCCTGGAGGGCTGGGGTGGGGCAGGACTGCCAGAGGCCACAGACAGAGTTGGACCTACTGTGTGTCTGGCAGGTAGTTTAGCAATAAAAATAATGGCTGCCACTTCTGGGGGCTCTCTCAGCCCTTTCACCAAAAGCATTCGGTTTCACCATGAGCTGAGAATCACTGACCGTGATCTGGGACTGGGAGCTGGGAATCACTGTGCCTACCTTACAGATGCCCATACAGGACTCACGAGACTTGTCCAGTGAGCAGAGCTCCAAAGACCATATTCTCTTGCCCACACAGGCCAGACTGTGGTTTTGAGACCCCAGGATGACCAGACTGCCACATGATTTTTTTGAACACTGAATACATGCCTGGCATCCTGCTACACTTCACATGAACCATCACTTCCCATCCTCACAATTATTACTCCCATTTAACAAACGAGGACACTAGGGTTCAGAGAGGTTATGCAGTTTGCCCAAGGTCACACAGCCAGTGAATGGTGGAGCTGAGATTCAAACACAGGCAGTCTGATTCCAAGACTCATGGGTCCTTATTGTTAAAGAAAACTTTTTCATTGCACTTGTTAAAGAATGGTAAGGCAGACTTTATTCAAGACCGTAATGATTGGGCTTCCCTGGTGGCTCAGTGGTTAAGAATCCGCCTGCCAATGCAGGGGGCACAGTTTCGACCACTGGTCTGGGAAGATCCCGCATGCCATGGAGCAACGAAGCCCGTGCGCAACAACTACTGAGCCTGCACTCTAGAGCCTGTGAGCCACAACTACTGAGCCCACGTGCCACAACTACTGAAGCCTATGCACCTAGAGCCCGTGCTCCACAACAAGAGAAGCCACTGCGATGAGAAGCCTGCACATCGCAATGAAGAGAGCCCCCTCTCAGCACAACTAGAGAAAGCCCGCACGCAGAAACGAAGACCCAACGCAGCCAAAAATAAATAAGTAAATAAATTTATTTTTTAAAAAAAAGAATATATAAGGGATTCTTTAAAAAAAAAAAAAAGACCATCATGATCGGTGTAGGGACTGCTGCGTGGGGTTTTGGTGTGGGGAAGAGAGCTTGGCCTCAGCTTGAATACAACAAGGAAAATTCGGAATTTATAGCTAAGGAGCAGGTCAATGGATGGAAAAATACTAAGAGGAGACATCAGGGGTAAGGGGGGCTCCAGCTAAACTGACTTAACAGGATTCTTGCTAATGGCAGCCCAGGGTGAGCCTACATCACCTGGGCGTGGTGGAGGATGAGGAATTCGATCAGATATCAAGGATGGAAGATTCTGGCTAAACTGACTTAGCAGGATTCTTGCTAATGGCAGCCCAGGGTGAGCCTACATCACCTGGGCGTGGTGGAGGATGAGGAATTCGATCAGATATCAAGGATGGAAGATTCTGGCTAAAATGACTTAGCAGGATTCTTGCTAATGGCAGCCCCAGGTGAGCCTACGTCACCTGGGCGTGGTGGAGGATGAGGAATTCGATCAGATATCAAGGATGGAAGATTCTGGCTAAAATGACTTAGCAGGATTCTTGCTAAAATTAGACAATGCAGAGATGAGCGTGGAAGTCCCAAAGTCAGGGCCTAGTTGAGGAGAGAGTTCTGAGGAGCCTGAATTGAGCCTGGTCAAGGAGAGTCTTTGTCAATGTGCTGATCAGGATAAAGAAGAGCTGGCTTTCATTCTGTCATCACCAGTTCATTCATTCATTCAGTTACTTCTTCAGAACATATTTATTAAGCTCTTGCCAGACACTTGCAGGCACTGGGGGCCCAGTAGAGCCTAAGACCAACAAGGTCCCAGCTGGTCCTGGAGCTGACTCACTGCAGGCGGGGAGTGGCTGGGGAGATAGACAAGAAACACTGTAAACAACCAACAGGATGCTTTCTGAGAATAATGAGTGCTTTGAAGTCCAGGAACCTTGACCCTGGGGTAGAAAGCAAGTGACATGGGGAGAAGGTCTGCTTTAGCCAGGATGGTCCGGGCAGGCCTCTGGGTGAGAAGGAGGCAGCCAGTGAGCTGGAGAAAGGGCAGTCCAGGCAGAAGGCACTGCAAGTGCAAAGGTCCTGAGGTAGGGAGAGACTAATGAGTCTGAGGAATAGCGAGGAGGTCAGTGGGGCCAGAGCAGAGTGAGCCAGCGTGAGAGAGAATAACAAGCAAAGGAGATGAGACATAAGCAAGGGCCAGCTTTTTTTTTTTTTTTTTTTTTTTTTGGGGTAAGCGGGCCTCTTCCCGTTGTGGCCTTTCCCCTTTTCG